AAGTGTTCCAAGTTTATAAAGGCATTTTAACACAAGCAAAGACAATGACAGTGTATAAAGGTGTGTTTGTTTAAACAACCCAGGGCCATAGGATTAACTCTGTTCAATACCTGGTCACTCAGCCCTTCTAATGAATCCTCATCAGACTTTGTCTTCAAGGACTCAACGTACTCTCCTCATCCCTAAAGAGAGGCTATGAGGTGACAGCAGGGTCACACTCAAGCCCAGCATGGGAACCAGGCTGCTATGCTTACACAGAGACACACACATCTGCATTTGGCCAATGTGCAAACACCAACTAATGCCGACACGAGGCAATGCATGAATTTAACCAAAAATACACAACACTGCCGGTTCACAAATGTCCACTGGTTCCCAATGATCCACAACACAAGCAAGTCCCCACCCTTCAAACGAGAAATGCAATCTGCCATTTAATGATGACACAGTGATGGAGTAGCCGCAAAACAGGTCTTGCCTTGAGAGATGCAAATTCAGGGGCCAATTAAAGCCCCACCCACACACCATCCTCGTCTTCCAAATGTAAACCTGGCCCTTGGTTTATATCCAGTTCAAGTTCAGCAAGAGAAAGAATCTTGGCACTTTGGTTGAAGGCTGCCTGAGGCAGGATAAGTGAATAACTACTGTTCCCCCCTCAGACAATTAAGCCACTCATTGAAATGAACAAATATTACTGGAGCACCTGCTGTGGACACAGGACCAGCTCTGAAACGTCCACAAGCACTGCAAGGGAACTCAGTGGGGCAAGATCCCCAGCCTAAGAGAGGTATGGACAGAAAGTCTGATGTACTCATGTCTGACATCAGGCCTGCCTTCTGCCTTCACTTCCCACGGCCCAGGGTGCTGTGAGCCCTCTCCAGCTAGCAGTCTCCCCTCTGACATATCCCAGCAAAGAAGTCCACTGAATTCAGTCAAATATGCAAAGGCCACATCTTGATTCAATCTACATTTCTACAGCTCCCCAGCACACACACACACACACACACACACACACACACACACACACACACAAACACACACACACGTTTCTTTAGGGAAAAAGGTGGGGGTGGGGGGGGGAAGGAACAGGGTGCCAAAGTTGGGTGGGTAATATATTTCCTTCCAAGGCTACATCCTTCTACAGATTCTATTAAACCTGGTGGAGGAACAAGATGAGCCCTCAGCCCCTTACATTTATTAAAATGTAATCATTTCCAATTATACCTACAAATGGCCACTAAAACCCTCCCTCTGGGAAAGACTTCCCGGGGCAGATTCCCTCTCAGTCCAACTGCCTAACAGTGCCTCTATGTAGGGGATATGACTTGAGAGGCCAGAAGTCCCCCACAGGCAAAACGAACCAGGGCAAATCATCACATACACACAGTTCCGGCACACTGGTCCTTGACACCTTCAAAGTTACATTGCTAATTAAAGATCTACCTGTAAAAGCCCCATGAAAATCCAAAAGTACTCCCAGGTCCTTGGAGAAATAACCCAATCCCACAGCCTCCTCTTAGAGATACTGTTTCTCAGATAAACTGGCTAGAGCAACATCCAAAGGGAGGGTCTTATCCTAGGTTCCTGATCTAAATGATCACCAAGAATGTCCACTTGACCCCCTAGTCCCCCTAGATCCCCTCTGCTCCACTCTACTCTACTAACTTTGCTCCTGTCTCAAGGAAAGGACCATACCATCTCTGCTTCAGCCCTCTGCCAGAGCTGAGCTGTCCCTTGCCTCCCCACACTCACTACTGCCAACAACCTGGTCTCCAAGCCTAGTTACACAGGATGATATAGGTGTCCACTTAAACAGAGATTCCCAGCTTTGATGCCAGAAATAACGAATCAGAATCCCAGGAAACGTATTTTTAGCAAGTCTGTCCTACACCATCCTGCTTGGCCTTTCATACCTGTTCTCAGCCTGCTCCTCCAGCCACCCATCCAGGACCCCAACCTTTTAGCTGCACACGCACTCCAACAAGCCCCGACACAGCTGGCTGCCTACATCACTCCTTCAGGTGCCTGGGGCTCTCCCAATACCTGACAGATTGCTGGAGCTCACAAAACGTTTGTTAATACTGTCCTTGGTAGGTACTCCTAAGAATTGCAGGGATCACCTTAGGCACCTGGAGAATCCATATGGCAGAGTAGTTACATATACATAAAGAGAATACTGAGTTTTAGAAACCCAAAGAGGTTGAATTTTTATTCCCCCACTAATTACCTTGCCTGTGTTTCATGAAAACTGGAAGTAACAATATTATCCACCTGTTGTAAAGATTAAACGAGATGATCCATGAAAAGTATTAACAGAATATCTCAATCATCAACAGTCAATGCATATATTGTCTTATCTAAATGCTTAGAGATTAGCATAGGTAGTATGTCTTAACTGTGCCACCATAGGTTCTCAAATAGTTGATCAACAAAACTAATAGGCCAGGCGTGGTGGCTCACACCTGTAATCCTAGCACTTTGGGAGGCCTAGGCGGGCAGATCATTTGAGGTCAGGAGTTCAAGACCAGCCTGGCCAACACAGTGAAACCCCATCTCTATTAAAAATAGAAAATATTAGCCGGCATGGTGGCAAGCACCTGTAATCCCAGCCACTTGGGAGGCTGAGGCAGGAGAATCACTTGAACCTGGGAGGCAGAGTTGCAGTGAAGTCAAGATTGCACCACTGCACTCCAGCTTTGGTGACTCCATCTCAAAAAAAATTTTTTAATCAATTTTTTAATTAAATTAAGAGCAAGACTCAGTCTCAAAAAAAAAATTAAGAATGTTGACAGTAATAATAATTATTGCTTCTATATCCACCTTCTTCCCTGCTATACTGCAAATTTTCGAAGGCAGGCACTATTTCCCATTCATTTCTGCACCCCAATCCCAGCAACAAATAACCATTTGCTTTATTTTAACCTAAAATGTTAATACAATTTTGATGATTCTTAAGAAATACATCCTTGTCTAAGGAATTACAAGGGCAGCCTCAGGCATAACTTAGATTAGAACCATAGAGTGAGATAAAAGGCTCAACTCACCAGCCTCAATAAAACCTTCCTAAGGTTTCTAAACACCCTGACTACCTCGTCTGTAGCCTCAACAACCAACTCCGCCTTCCTTTAACCTGAGGCAGGGCCTGCTACCTGCTGAGCCACAATCTGAGGTCTTTAGTGGTGATCCCCAGCCCCTCACTCTGGTCTGTGGCATCTCAGCCACTGCTACAGCCGGCCCACAGCCCTCAGCCCAGCCTGCTTCGGCAGCGGCTCATCCTAGGAGAATGCAGCCTGAAGCCCGCCCTTTGAGCTCTCAGCCAGTTCACCTCCCACAGGGGCCTGGGGGCTGCACTTGGCCCAAGGTGTCAGGTTACCACAAAAATAACAGTGGGCCTGCCTAAACCAGGCATGCGGGCCAAGTGTAAGAGGAAAGTGTCCCAGAGGTGAGAAAGAGAAGCCCAGGAGAAGGAAAAAAAAAAAAAAAAAAAAAAAAAAAAGCAAGACCTTTGAACATGTGTCAAAGAGGACTTGGTTTTTAAGAAATGAACATTAAATTCATAACTACACTCAATATCACCGCCACAGCCTCTTCAGTAACTCATTTAGTATCCAATCAGAGTAACATATTTATATTATACTTAACAACTCTGAATGTGCTTTTAAAAATATTATTTTAGGGCAAGACGGAGATGAAGTTTTCTTTAGTTTGCTTATTTAATACCATGTATAAAAGTCAGATTTGGGTCAATGAAGGTTTTAACAAGTATTTCCACTCAACAAATTCCTAATATTACTCAGCTTTAATTTTCTCAAAACTACATCCAAACATGTCAAAGCTAATTAGCTTTATTGTAGAAGAGGTAGGACTTCAAGGGGGGGGTGGGGGGGAAGGCTAATAAAAAGCATTTATTCATTATTTTTTCTTCTTCCCTAAAATGAAATCAAAGTTCACTCCCGTGCCACTCTCGTGCAAGAATGCTGCTAGCTTGATGTGGTCTGGCCCAGCCTAGATATTTCAAATAAAGTTAACTTCAATCACTGTAGGGAGTTAGCAGGGTATTGATTCTCCATCTATTGTTCTTTCATCTTGGTTTACTCCATACACAATGTCTCTTTAATTTGCTCCTAGCAACTGTTTTATGAGTGGGTGGGTATAGGCCCAGCTACAAGAAAAGACACACTTCTTTAAGCCAGGCAGGTAAGCCTCAAGAACAAGCCATCCACTGGGTGGACTGGGTTTCCCATTATAATCCCTTATGTGCCAAAGAAGCTGTGAATGCCTTGGCAGGAGAAGACAGAGCCAACTCTAATAGGCACATTTAGATTCACAACCTGAAGGTGTTGAAAGACAGACAGACAAAAAAATTCTAAGTGAAAAATATGAGCTAAGTTTTTAAAAAAGAATTAATTTTGATAGGGAAAAGGTTCTCAATTGTCACATTATTTTACAGTTATTGATTTACGTTTCATTTTACAATACAGGGTTGCATGTATAAGACATAGCCGTATTCTGAACAAGACTCTATTGCAAATACTCAGAAAAGAAAAATAGCCTTTAAAATGACAATTTTAGCGGCAGCCAGACCAGCAGTTAACATGCAGACAGGCAGCAATTCTGTGTTTTTAAATTTTTTTTAGCTTTTCAGAAATAGCCGTCTCCCAATCAAATTGATCAAAAACTTCATAGAAGAACGTATCACTCAAAGTGGACTTTGAGTTCTGAAAATTTAAAAGAATACCATATAAATAGTGAAATTCACTGTAGTTTCATTCTGTCTTTAAAAGCAGCCAAAGCCTAGTTCCCAGAAGAGAGGATCTCATTCACCTTGCTACTCCCAGTGTGGTCAGAATTAACACAGTTCATGCAGGGCATATCACACCGTGCAATTATCAACCAGCATTGACATTGCTAAAAGATCTTTAATAATCCTGGTTTTTACCATAAAAGCTCTCATTATAATCCCAGCTCTCTTTGCTTGTTCAGCGTGCCTGGTCACTTACAGGAGGATGAGAAAAAACCGTGGACTCAACTCATCTTTCCCCAGCGGTGTCACCCAGGGAGCTGTTCATGTCTCTGGAGAGCAATGCCACCACACTGCCTGACCAGGTTTAAAATTAGCTGAGCCCTGGAGAGCCGCGGGTAACCTTCTGACAAGGTTAGCCAGCAGAGCAGAGCACTGCTCAGGGAGGGACATTAATAAGAAGCCAAGTAGAGCCTTTCAACAAGCCCATTAGGGCCTCTCAGAACCAGCAGTCTGGAAGCCTGGGGGAGCCGGGTGCCTCAACGCCAGGAGGCTGACCAAGGCCTCTTATTTTTATCCCACCAAGTCAGCAGCTTTCTTTACAGGAGATAAATACAACCTCCAAATGTGCTTCTCCAAGTTTAAATCCAACATGTTCACCCACTCACTAATTACACAATAATTTTTAAATGTTTAATGAAGTTTAAAAAAAATACTTCTGGAACACCTCTAGTCATAAGTTAACACCCACAGATGACCAAAAAAAGTGAAACACATAGAAATATCCATAAAGAAAATTAACTTTACCCATATTCCACCATCAAATAATAATCAGTGCTAACCATGCATTTTGATGTCCTTACACTAATCATTCCTTTAGGTTTTTGTTGCCCACCTAACACTTCACAGTCAGAATTAGTTCCTAAGTCCTGAAAACTTATTTGTATCTGTGTTATTTAAGAGGTACATAATATTCTGGGTGGAGGATATGCTATGACTTAGCTCTTTCCCCATGCTTGCACATTGAGATTTTGCCCAACTGTTGCAGCAAACATCCTTGTAATCCTTTCTCAAGGACAGATTTCTAGCATATAGTAGAAGAGCAGGAACAATTTCAAGGCCACCGATACAGACTGGGGACCTCTCACACTGTATACACAGTCAGTATTTTCTGAATAAATGGACATGTCTCAGTGATTTCTAAATAGACAAACCTAAATTCTAATGTGACATTTTCCAAGCACCTTTGGGGATAATCGAGCCTAGCGCAACTAAGGTTTTCTCAGCAACGAATTAAAGAAGACAAGTGAAGAATCTATCAACAGCTCTGAATATCTGCCAATTTCAGACACTCTCTCCTACACCGCCTCCAGTACTTGACTGGTTCAGCTATACCAGTTGTTTAAAATACTGAAATACTTCCATAAGAGCATGGAAAGAGTCAGTGCCCCAATCCCCCCCCAACCCCCCACCTCCGAATGCTCTGTCTCCTCGTAGTGCCCCAAGGCCTCCTCACTATTCAACAAGAATAGGTGTCTGGCACATCTAGGGGCCTGCAGTGGTTTCTGGTTAAATATTCTAAATACCACCCCTGTTGATGGGTAACTATTTCCCCCCAGCTTAAATCTATTTCATTTGTCACAGAGGCAACTTTTTAAATCTCAATTACCACCACTTCAATACTATTTCTTAAAGTCACTAGATTCCCTAATACTTCAGTTGTTAAACCAAAATTAACAATTATTAGGAAGCAACTACCTAGCAGAGGGCTGTTCCTGCTAAGTTATTCTCTACAAAGCATAGTGGGTTATGCTGGACTAAGCTGAACTCCATAATCGTTAAGATTCATGAACCTAGTACTAATACCAATTACAATGGTTCCCCAAGGATAAAAGCTGTCTGCTTCGATCACAGGAGACTTTGAGGAGCTTTCAGATCATCAACCAGATTCTCAGCAAAAATACTAAAATACTAAGTCTGGGGATAAGAGAAGAGTCACATCCTGCCTACCCTATGCCCAGGTTACCCTCGTATTGGCTTACCTGTAATACTAATAAAAGCAACATTTATTGAGTGCTGTCAATGAGCTAGACATATATTGCTATGCATTTAGAAGCATAATCTCTACCTTTAGTTCTCTTTGCTAAACTAAGCCTTTTTCTGTGAAGGGGAACAGGTAACTAGTACGTGGAACAGAGTTTCATTTCCTCTAAATGTTTTTATATCATCTTCTATTAGGGATGCCAAGGCAAGAACACCAGCTGAGAAAGAGAAGGACAAACAAGAGGTCTCTATAATTGGACTTTGAAAACCAAGAAGGTGCTAGCCTGGACATATTACAGCACTGCCCAGCCCCAACAGCTGGGCCATGGCCCACTTTGGAATCAGCTCAAAGACAATACCCTCCCACATCTCCATTACAGGAGAATATACTCCAAATTCCAGGCCACTATAAGAGCTGGAGGCTGCGCTGTGGTTTCTGTGCCAGCCAAATCAGTGAGATTCTAATAGACAGTAAAAGTTTAAGGAAATACACCTTGTTAATAGTAAATACAATATTCACAGCTAGCATTTATTTGACACTATGTGAGTAACAGGGATCAAGACTTCACTTTTGTAAAGTTTTATTTTATTTTTGATTGACAAATAATAATTGTATATGTTTATGGGGTGTATGTTTATGGGGTATACATGTATGAACATGTCTCGGCGCTTTCTAAATAGACAACCCTAAATTCTAATGTGACACTTTCCAAGCACCTTTGGGGATAATCGGGCCTAGTCCAATTTATTTCCATGCATGTATACATTGTGGAATGATCCAATCTGATGAATTAACATATCCATCACCTCCAACAGGTATCATTTCTTTGTGGTAAGAATACTTAAGTTCTTCTCTTTTTTTGCTATTTCAATATATACCACACATTATTGTTAACTACAGTCACCATGTTATTGCACCAGAATTCATTCCTCCTAACAGAAACTTTACACTTTGACTAACCTCCCCTTTCCCTACCCACCCACTCACCCCCAAAACCTCTGGTAACAACCATTCTACTCTCTACTTTTAGAAATTTGACTTCTTTAGAGTCCAGAACTTTATTTTTATTATTTCACTTAATCCTCATCACAACTGTACAAGGTAGAAATGTAATATTACTATCTCTGCTATTCAGATAAAGAAAATGAAGTTTAGAAATATTAAGTAATTTGTCCAGAATCATGCCACTAGTCAGTGGTCAAGATGAAATTCAAACCCAGATTTATCTCCTTGCGCTCATGGTCTAAATGTATTTGGGAAAGAGTAAACCTCCCATCACTAGAGGTAATCAAAGAATAGCTAGAAGACCTCTTAAAACAGTGATGCTATAGGGGAACCAGAGGCAAATGAAGATGTCAAGAAAGGTGCATTCCAACATCTGATCTATGGTGGGTGAAAACAAATTGCCTACTGCGTGCTGGCTCCATATCAGGTGCTCGTGGGATGTGAGGAGCAGGCCAGGCCCTCTAAACCAAGTGTGCACACTGTTAGAGCTGAGTTAACTGACAGCTACATGATTTTTCTGCTGAAAAGCAATACAGTGAAAAACAAGGCTATTGGAGAGCCCAGACTCTGGCCACCATGATCCCAGGAGTGCTGGCGCATGGCAAAAGCTTGTGCTTCTTTCTGCTTTCCCAGAACCACAAATGCAAGGATGTGAGAGCTTTGCTACTGCAGGGCAGGGGGGAAAAAGGTTTTTTGATCTTCTCATTAATATCCTGCACCTGTATTTTTCTCCAACACAAAACTAATAAGGTAAATAAACAATTCAAATTTACATTGGAAAAAGTCAAGAACACAAGCAGAAAGGGGAGATGAATAGACAATTAGAGAGGAGAGTAAGCATATAGGAAAATATGCATGGTCATATTTTCCCATATGCTTATGGGAAGAAAAGGCAGAAAAATGTCAAATTCAAGCAAACTCAAGGTGTTATTTTCAACCTCTTAATCAGCAAACCTTTAAAGGCTCTAAGCACATCTCTAGTGAATATGACATAGAAAATACCCTGGTGGTGGTGTGGATATGAAAATCCAATTAGCTACATTTATTGGGAGCCTCAAAAGCCTTAAATCCTTTGAACTAGCAATCCTAAAATTTATCAAAAAGAGAAAATTCATTAGAAAATAAAAATTATGAGCACAAATATGTAGATTATAAAAACCAGCTATAATACGATAAAAAAAGGCTTTTTAAAAAAAACACAGTACATGAATGCAAAGAAAAACTGGGCATTCATTTAGAAGAATAAAATGAACTAAAATATAAGGGAGAATTTCTCAAAGAATATGAATTTTTAAAAGCAAAACAAAATTATATAATGATTATAACTAGTTTGATGCATATAGCTACACAAAGTGAAAATAAAAAGGAAATAGTTACTAGGTTAAGACAGTGACATCACAGTTTTTTGTCTTATACTTTTTTTCATGTTCTGTCGTTTTTGCAATTTTTAAGAAAGAATTCCAATATTTTTAAAAAGAAAATTTAAGTAAACATCAGTTACAACTTCAGATATTCAAGAACTTGAATACAAGAAGAAAGATCAGAAGTCACAGATATGGGGATGCTTGAATCCTTTATCATCAGGATCCACCCAGGCAATCTCCAAATGATATAGTTTGGCTGTGTCTCCTCCCAAATCTCATCTTGTAGTTCCCATAATCCTCATGTGTTGTAGAAGCGACCTGGTGGGAGGTAACTGAATCATGGGAGCTAGTTACCCTCATGCTGTTCTCGTAATACTGAGTTCTCACAAGATCCAACGGTTTCATAAGGGGCTTCCCCCTTTGCTCGGCACTCACTTCTCTCTCCTGATGCCATGGAAGACGTACCTGTTTTGGCTTCTGCCATATTATAAGTTTCCTGAGGCCTCCCTAACCATGAGAACTAACCTCTGTTCTTTATAAGTTACCCAGGGTCAGGTATATCTTCATAGCACTGTGAAAACAGACTAACGCACCAACTTTATGTCTAGTGACAATTTTCACATACACACATTATAGCCTATTTTAGGTAAACCAAATGACTTGATATTCCCTCAAACATTACAGTAGCAATAATCACAGTAGCTACACTTATAGAGTATATATTCTGTACCTGGCCCTGTTCTAAGCACTTTGTATGTCTTGACTCATTTAATGTCCGTAACAATACTATGAGAAAAGTACTACTGTTATTCTTACTTTAGAGATGAGGAGACTAAGGCATGGAAAGAAAATAAATGGCCTCATCACTCAGAGAAGTGGAAGAGCCAGGATTTAAATCCAGACAGTCTGACTCCAGAGTTTAATCGATAACCACCGCATAACACTGCCTATGAGTACAGACAAGACTCCCAAGCCACTGCTATGCTGTTCCTCTTGTCTGAAATGCCTTTCCTCACCACCTATAAAGCTCCCACAAATACTTCAGAGGCCAATTCAATTGCTACCTCTTTGGTAAAGCTTTCTTTGCCTTTCCCATGCAGCTTTTGTTTGTGTTACCTGTTAAGTCCCACAGAACTTTATACATACAACTACTCTTTTGCTAATATTGTTTAATATTTCATTGGGCTTCTCTCCTTGATGGACCAATATTTGGGGTGGGAGGTAGATAAAAGTGTTCTTTGTATCTGCAGTAACTAGCCCAATGTCTGGCACCTAACATGTAATCAATAACAGAGGGAGGGAGGGACAAATGAATGAATGACTTATCAGTAACGGTAATAGAGAGCTCGTTAATGTGTTCATTAGTATTTCACATATACTTGAAATTTTAATAAAATAGGACCTTGAGTATTATTCAGCCTTGAAAAGGAAGGCAATTCTGGCCCCCATGACAGCAAGAATAAATCTTGAGCAGATTATGCTAAGTGAAATAAGCCAGTCACAAAAGCACAAATACAGTAGGATTCCACTCATAGGAGGTAACTGGAGTAGTCAAATTAGGAGACAGAAAGTAGAATGGTGGTTTACAGGGGCTAGGAGAAGGAGGAAGGAACACAGAGTTATTGTTTAATAGATACATTTTCAGTTTTGCAGATAAAAAGAGTTCTGTGCATAGATGGTGCTGATGATAGCAAAACAATGTCAATGTACTTAATACCACTGAACTGTACACTTAAAAATAAAGACGGTAACTTTTATGTTACATGTACTTTACCACAATTAAAAAGACAGACTGTAGAGAGACAACAGATTAGATGACTGATTGATTGATAAGACAGACAGACTGAATGAGACCTCAAAACAAAGCAGTCAGACCAAGTCAAATTACACCCACAGTGTAATCTAAACATAACACTCAGTGCTGGAGCACTCATATTCCAACAGATGCTTCACACATACATACAGTCACCCCTTGTATTCTTCCAGGTGTCTTCCCATCTCAACAGTGCTATCACTTCCTCCACAAAGGCTTCCCAGATACCTAAATCAGACTGAGTGGTCCTGTGCCTGCTTCCACAACATCATGCCCTTGTATCAGAGCACCTCTGAAACTGCCCATCAACAAGTCTATTTCTCCAATGTCAAACTCCATGAAGGCAGCAACCCTGTCTTACTGGGGTGTGTCTTTAGGACCTGGCTTGGCACAAATCACCTTTAATGAATATAGAATCAATTCATTAACTGCTAAAAAGGGAGGGACTGGAATATTGCTCTGATTTTCAGAGCTCACATGCCAAGCTGTCTTAAGGAGTGGTTAGCAAGGCAAGTAAAAACAGAAAATTCAAAGATTTTTTTCATCTGAAACTGAAAGGAAAAGCATCCAAGTCATCAAGAAGAAGATTCTTACCACCTACTCTATTAGAAAAAAGGACATCTATTTGTGGGCAAGGTGATTTGCAGAATCTACACACCTACAGAGTTAAAGCTCTGTGCCTGCCTTCTGGTATCCTAAGGCTATGATTCAGTGCCACACATGGTACAGGGGCTTAGACATGTCACCTCTTCAAATTCTCTTGATATCAAAGGAGTATTTTCCTCTTTACAGGAACAAAAGTTTAAAATGCAGTTTGATCAATTTGTCAGATACCTATTTTTGGGCTAAAATTAGAAAACATTCTTCAAGGCTGCTAAATCTTTATTAATGCCAAATTTATATCAATACTTAAGGGTCAGCTCAGAAGGTAGAGGGGCAGTAATTGCTTCTCTTCCCTTACTCCATTTTACATTCTTTCAGGTAGCTGGTACATGCATAGTATTTATTCTATATATTTCTGCCTTAGAAATTACTTAACTACTTGATATGGTTTGGCTGTGCACCCACCCAAATCTCATCTTGAATTGTAGCTCCCATAATTCCCATGTGTTGTGAGACAGACTCAGAGAGAGATAAGTGAATCACGGAGGTGGTTTCCCCCATATTGCTCTGGGGATAGTGAATGTCTCCAGAGATCTGATGGTTTTATATACGGGGTTTCCCCTTTCACTTGGTTCTCATTCTCTCTTGCCTGCTGCCATGTAAGATGTGCCTTTTGTCTTCTGACATGATTGTGAGGCTTCCCCAGCCACGAGGAACGGTAAGTCCATTAAACTTCTTTTTCTTTATAAATTACCCAGTCTCGGTTATGCCTTTATCAGCAGCATAAAAATGGACTACTACACCATCCTTACAATGCTTCTCTATATAAACCTCCAACTTTCTTGATTTATGTTTCACATAGGAGAAATGAATTTTTTATTTGTTACTAAGCAAAATGTTTCCTCTTTTTTTCCCTCCAATTATGAGCAAATGGTAACAGTGACACTAAAAGGCATGCATAAGCTACGCATATCCAGACTTGAGCCCCACAAGCTGTAAGCTGCTAGAGTACAGAG